ACCGATGTTCAATAGTTCATGCATGCTTGTTGGTGGCTCTCGGAAATAAAGATAGTTTTCTAGTGATTGTAAGTGTTCGGAAATAAAGGTACTCCCTCCGTTCCGATTTACTCGTGATGGGTTTAGTTCAAATTTGAACTAAAACCACGACGAGTAAATCTTTTTTTTGCGGGAAACCACGACGAGTAAATCTAAACGGAGGGAGTAGTTTATAGGGTTTTTTCTTTTGAAATGAAGGCAAAAGAATAGTTTCTAGTAATTCATGCCTTGCTACCATGGTTAGTTTTTCACTAGTGGAGAAATGCTTACAATTGGTTCATGCTTGTTGGTGGCTCTCGGAAATAAACATAGTTTCTAGTGATTGTAAGTGTTTATAGGGTTTTTTTTCTTTTGAAATGAAGGCAAAAGAATAGTTTCTAGTAATTGATGCCGCGCCACTTTTTAATTCACGCCACTGGTATTTTTCTTTAATAAATACCAATGCCATGGGCATATTTCGCACGCCACAAATATTACCTTACTGATAGTGTGTTGCCTAAAATTCACGCCACTAATGATCGAATCAACCTGCCGCAGGCGTTCGGCTAAAAAAACAGATCAATCACTGGTGGCGTGCGATTGGAAGTGGCGTGTCACCTAACAATATAATGTAGTAAGTTCCACGTAGAAAAGGGGGAGCAACTAATTAACGGGCGCTCCTTCGGGAGCCTCCCAACGATCAGCGCTACTTGGCGCGCTCTCAGCTATTCGTCACGTGTCGCGCTCTGGGCGCACCCTCCGGATTTTTTTTCCGCACACGTTTTCGGATTTTTAAACGGTTTTTTCCGGGTTTTTTGACGTTTTGGTTTTCCACCGGTCTTTCCTAGCTTTTCAACCAAAAAAATTCGAAAAAAATAATTTTTTGCGCAAAAAAACGCATTTTTTTCGCGAGAGTCACGATTTTGTTTTCGCGAGAGGCACGGTTGTGCTTTCGCGAGAGGCACGGCCGTGCCTCTTGAAAACGAAAAAAACGTGTTTTCTATTTTTTTCTTTCGCGAGAGGCACGGTTTTGCTTCCGCGAGAGGCACGGTTGTGCTTTCGTGAGATTCACGGTCGTGCCTCCTCGGAAACGAAAAAAAAACATGTTTTCTGTTTTTTTTCTTTTGTGAGAGGCACGGTTTTGCTTCTGTGAGAGGCACGGTTGTGCTTTCGAAAGAGGCACGGGCGTGCCTCTTTTGAAAAGGGAAAAACGTGTTTTCTATTTTTTTCGCAAGAGGCACGGTTTTGCTTCCGCGAGAGGCACGGTTGTGCTTTTGCGAGAGGCACGGGCGTGCCTCTTTTGAAAAGGAAAAAAAATTCTGTTTTTTTTTCTTTCACGAGAGGCACCGTTTTGCTTCCACGAAAGACACGGTTGTGATTTCGTCAGAGGCACGGGTGTGCCTCTTTGGAAAGGAAAAAAACCCGTGTTCCTGGTTCGGTTTTTTCGTCGGTTTTTTTCGTCTGGTTTTTTCGTGAAAAAAAAGTTGTCAAAATCTATCAACATGGGATCTAATTTTTAAGATCTCGACGCAAGGAATCCAACGGCGAAAGCGGTTCGGGATTTGGACGCACAGTTTAAGAGATAAAACGATTTAAATAAACGGATCTACGAATAAAGGAAAAATACCCAGGTTGCGACAGGTGAAGCACATGCAGCGCGTCACTTATCGCAACTTGGGAAAGTTGGAGTGATCTCCGCAAAAAATACTCATTAATTAGTGCTTTCGTAGAAAAGGTCTGAAGTATAAGGTAGAGCAGAGCATGGGCAGCCCACTCCGCAAGGCCAGGCCCAAAAGCCCGACATCCAGACCAGACTGGAAATGTACTTTTCCGCTCAAAGCCTAGCCCAGAAGCCCAAAAAGCCAGCATCGCATATTTTAAAAATAGGTATAATCTAGTATTTTATGCCCCAAAATAGTCATTTTAATTAGGGAATGCCGATGTTCATGTGTCTTTGGCTGCTTTGCTCTGTTATACGAAAATTAAAGACAAAGCCAAAACTGCCACAGAGGGAGAATCTTGTGTTAACGTGGGACTACGTGGTACAATATGTGGTCTACGTATGCTGCAACCACACATGCATGTCAACGGTTAGAGCATCTTCCACAGGCGTCCAAAAAAATCTCCGCGCGCTTGAAATTGGTTTTTTTTTGTGCCCAACAGCTCCAACAGATGGTGTAAAATATTGCATGCGCTAAAAAGTTTTAGGCACGCGCTAAAAAACGCTATCACGCGCAGCATATTTTGGGCTCCGGATTGCGCGCGCTTAACAATTTGCATTGTGTGCTTTTTTTGCGCGCATTTTTGGGCGTCTGCTAAAATAATGTTGGTCCCGGTGCAATAAAAATGCTACATCAATAAAAGTTTACAGAGGGAGTACCTTTTTTTGCATGGTAATACGTGTCCCATTCATATCATAAAGATTAAAGTACAAGTCACGTAAGGACCGACATGACAAAACTGAAAAGATAGCAGAACATCTCTGAGCCTAATACCAATGCCCATCACCTGCCTCCGGCACCACGACAGCAGCCACCGAAGAAAAGAATGATGGATCACCTCCTCACCCGAACTCGACGCGGCTCCATCGCTGATATGCAGCTTTGCGGACCTCCAAGGTGGCTCACCAAAAGTGAAACCCTTACCGTTGAACGAATCAGACCGGGGCAACACCCCGGACACGCCATCAAACTCTAGATCTGGTACCCCACCGCGACTAAGACGCCGTAGAAGGAAACCATACCTGCCATCCACGAACCACAAACCCAGCACATGTTTCGTCTTGCAGATGTCGTCGATGCAGACCATAATCTGCATTGCTCCTGGACTACCTCCCAAGCATCGCGCCGACGTTGGAGCAAACGACGTTGCAACGTGGAGCCCAGGACACAGGTCCACCACGAGGATGCCGCCGCCACCATGTTTCGTCTTTCAGATGTCGTTGATGCAGACCACAATCTGCATCCGTTCCTGGACTACCTCCCAAGCTCCGCGCTGACGCTGAAGCAAACGCACCCGAGGACACAGGTCCACCACGAGGATGCCACCGCCACCACGCCATCCTTACTTGAACAGACTGGTTTCCAAAACCATCCCCAACCAAAGGACCGATGGCCTTGTCAAAGAAGGATCCGAAGAATCTTTATTTAGCGTAGTCATCATCGCCGCCGAAGCAAAGACGATGAACAGCCTAAAAACCTAGACTACGAGGGAGTACCTGATAAATAACATTTGGCTTAGATTCAAATAATGGGCAGTATTTTTAATGTAGTGTCTGCTGGTGTGCACTGACGGAGCTACAACAAGGTTGGATGGGCAATGGTTCGCCCAGTCTAGAGAAAAGACAGTGGGGGCGATGAGATTAGAGCATCTCCAACAGCCGCGCTATGCGCCGCGCGCAAAAAACCTATTTGCCGCGCGCGCTTCGGCTGGTTTAGCGCGGCCACCAGCGCTAGCTCCAGCGGCCGCGCTATAATGCAGCGTGCGCGCGGCGCTCCAGCAGCGCGCAAAAATACAGCGCACGCGCGCCGATCCAGCAGCGCGCAAAAATACAGCGCGCGCGACTCACCGGGCATGGCATTTTAGCCACAAAATGAGTTTGAAACAATCATCAAAATGCAATGAACATGTGAAATTTGTCACAAACAAGTTGACGAAAATAAAAGTTCATGCCCACAAGTTCATCCAACCAAGTTCAAAATGCAAACTAAAGTTGAAGACATAAATGAAAGACACATCAAACATCTTCCTCGTCTTCGTCCTCATCTTCCGAAGACGATTCTTCCGCCACCACCACCCATGCCGCCAAGGCCACCGCCACCCATGGTGCGGATCACGGCTCTTTTTTGGAACAAGACTTTTTCACGGGCAAGGTTGACATATTCCTTTTGCGCATCATTGAACAAAGATGTGTCCAAGAAGAACAAGTGCTTCTCGCATTCCAACAACCTAGATCGCTCTTCCATGCCCACCTTCCTCTCCTCTAATGCCACTTTCCTCTCCTCGGCGGCCACCATCCTCTCCTCGGCCGCAGCATCTTGGTTCTTTGCCATTTTCCTCACCTCGTTGGCTTCTTTTCTGGCCTTCACAATAGCTTCCATAGCATTTTTGAGCTCATCATCTCCTTTCCTCTTCTTCTTTTCGATTTTTTCTTTCTTGCAGTGGCTCCCCGCGCTAGGGTTTCCAGCGGCGGCGGCGGCGGGGAGGTCGCGGTTGTACAGCGGGGTGAGCGGGGTACCGGTGTGCGCGTCCATGGGTGGCAGGGCGCCGGCGCCGGCGCGCGCGGGGCGTAGGAGGAGGAGAGAAGAGAGTGCGGCGCGAGCGGTCGAGTGTGCCGCGCGCTGTAGCAGGCGCCCGAAATACACCGCACGGGATAGTGCTTTCGACCGCGCACCCAACTCGTTATAGCGCGCACGCCGTTTTTGCGCGCCCACTGGAGCGACCTGCCGCGTTGCGCGCGCGCTAAAACGGACTAATTTACGGTGCGGTGCTAGTTTAGCGCGGCTGTTGGAGATGCTCCTAGACTAGACTAGGCCAATTTGACGAAAACAGTGGGATTTTTGTGTACCGCCCGCCCATATTTGACACTGTAGTTCCTCCACTGCGGGTGTGCATCCGTGAGCTAGAAGAATGGCCCAACCAATATATTACGAACAAGGAAACGAGCGTGAAAATTAGTACTACTAACAAAACCACGTATCAGATATGCACATGAGTACATACGTACGGTGGGCACGGAGATGGCCACCGGGAACGCGTTGACGACGCGCAGAAGAGTCGTGAACCGACGGCAGTGGAATGGCGGCGGCGGCGGTGCCATCCCGCGACGACTTCCACGCCGGGCTGGACGCCACCATCATTCTTCCGTCTTCCCCATCCAATGTGCGTGTCAATTCCGCACCGCACACCAATCGTTTGCATAAAAGCACGCTCCGTCGATCCTTCTTGCATCACAATATTCACAATCGATCAAGTCACAGCCCATGATGATGCACCGTGCTACGATCATCGCGATGATCTGCTGCCTCGTGGCCGGCGGCGGGGCGCGCGCGCAGCCGTTCGACTACCCGGCGGCGAGGTTCGCCACGACCTGGGCCAACACGGACGCCGCCCTGCCGCACCACGTCGTCTACACCGACGGCTCCGTGGCGCGCGCAGCCCTGCTGCGGCTCAACCCGGCGGGCCTCGGCCCCTCCTACGCCTTCGGCTTCTTCTGCGCCGCCAACAGCCCCCGCGGCGACGGCACCGCGGCCCCGTGCACGGAGTTCCTGCTCGGCGTCGCCGTCGTGTACTGCAACAGCGGCGCGGGCATGACGTTCGTCACGGCCGGCGTCCCGCAGGTCGTCTGGTCGGCCAACCGCGGCAGCCCCGTCAGGGAGGGCGCCACCACGGAGCTCACGCCGGAGGGCGACCTGGTTCTGAGGTCGGGCCCCGGCGGAGCGGTCTTGTGGTCCACTGGCACCAAGGGCCGCTCCGTCGCCGGGGCGCGCATCGGCAGCGACGGCAACCTGGTGCTGTTCGATGGGCGCAACGCCACGGTGTGGCAGTCGTTCGACCACCCCACGAATGCGCTCCTCGTCGGGCAGTCGCTGAAGCACGGCGCTCGGCTCACCGCCAACGTGTCGGCCGCGGACTGGCGCGATAGCAGGCTCTACCTCGCCGTCGACGACGATGGACTGAACGCCTACGTCAACGCCGCGCCGCCGCAGCGCTACTACCACCTCCGCCTCAGCGAGACCTCACCCGGCGCCTACGCAACGTACACCAATGGCAGCCTCACGGTGTCCGCCCGGCCCGGAGCGCCGCCACTGGCAGCCATCGAGCTGCCCACCGTCGGCGCCGGCACGGTGCAGTACATGCGGCTGGAGCACGACGGCCACCTCCGGATCTACGAGTGGCGCTCGGGCTGGGCGCCGGTGTACGACGTGCTGCGCCTCTTCCCGGACGGCGGCTGCGCATTTCCGACAGCGTGCGGCGCGTACGGCGTGTGCACGGACGACACGCAGTGCAGCTGCCCCGACGCGGCCAACTTCCGGCCGGTGGACTTCCGGAGGCCCAACCGCGGCTGCGTCCCGACGCCGCCGCCTCCAACGTCGTGCCGCCCGTCGCGGCGGCCACGCACGCAGCACCGGCTGGTGTCGCTGCCGGGCACAACCTACTTCAACGACCACACCACGAGCATGCGGGCCGTGGAGCGAGTGAGCGAGGAGGCGTGCAAGAAGGCGTGCCTGGACGACTGCGCTTGCGCGGCGGCGCAGTTCTACTACGGCCCCGACGCCGGCGACGGGTCATGCTACCTGCAGTCGGAGGTGTTCTCGATGCAGACGGTGCAGCCGGAGGTGGTGCACTACAACTCCACCATGCATATCAAGGTGCAGGCCAAGCCTGCTAGGAACTGATGACTCCTGAACACTATACGCACATAATACAGTAGCATATATATGGCATTGTCCTTGAAAAAATGACACGAATAAAGTTCTGGGACATATATATGTACAAATTCCAATATTGAAAAAATGGCATGAATTAATCATCTCTCCATTCTCTTTACATTGAGCACCTAATGACAAATGCATGGCGTCTCAGTCGATGCTATATCCATCAGATTTTACATTAAGATCCGTGCAATCTCAGTCGACTGAGCCCTAACCACACCCCATACAAAATCAACAATAAGAAAATATCTTCATTTAGCAATTAACCATGACATTTCTCCGTGGCTCCTATGCATATAGAAACGGAGCTTAATAGAACTGCGCTCACATTGGAACTAAAAAACATAACCAGCCATGGAAATGAATAAAATGAAGAAAAGGTATTGATTTTTTCCATTCCTTTTTCTTTCATTTTTCTTTCTTTATTTTTCGTCACTTTTTTCTCTGTTCATTTATTGTCTTTTCTTTTCATATGCGAACATATCTTTTTGAATACGCCAACATTATTTTTCAACACATGAATATTTTCTCACTTCTAAAAATAATTTAAACATATATACAGAACATTTTTCCCAACATACACAACGGACACCTTTTTTGTGTTTGAACATTTTTTCATGTTACACAACAATTTGAATTTGGAAATACCAAGTTAAGGTAACAATGTTTTTTTTTTGACAATTAAGGTAACATGTGTTAAACCTGATCATTCCCGCACCGGGCCAAATTTTGGGCCGGCCTTGACAAGTCTGAACTGCAAATCCCAGGCCTGGTCTAGAGGCCCCTCCTTTCCATCCAAAGTTCTACCAACTTTAAAAGTTCCCTTCAAGAGCAAATAAAATGATATAAAAACAGGGGGTGGGGATCAAAATAATGAAGTTTCTAAGAAGGAATGTATAAGTGTCATTTGTATTACATTTTAAGAAGAAATAAAATGAAATAAAAGTTGAAACAAATAAAAGTAATGAAGTTTTTAAAGAAATAATGAATTAGTCGCATTCATATTACCATTCAAGATGATAATAAATAAAACACAATGGCAAAGTTTGAACATAATTTACACAGAAATTGCTCTTTTATAATATGCAGGGATAAACATGTAATAGTGGAATTTTCATATAAAAATCTTTCCTAAGGTAGTGGCATTGGTATTACCTTAAAGAAGAAATAAAATAAAATAAAAACTAAACATAATCAAAATAATGATGTATTGTAAGGATTAATGAATTTTTGGAATTAGTATTTCCAATTAAATAAGAAATAAAAGAAACAAATATTGAAACAAATATCGCAATTTTTTCACGCAATTTACACATAAATTGCACCTTATTGTAATATGCAATAATAAGCATATAGTAGTGAAATTTCGTAAAAAGAGAAGTTTCCAACAAGAAAAATCTGTTAGTAGCAATGGTATAACCCTTAAAAAGGAACGTAAGTAAAATAAAAATAGGAATAAAATAAAATATTATAAGAAAGAATGAATTAGTGGCAGTGGTATTACTCGTTAAGAATAAAAATAAGATTTTCAAAAATGATAATAATAATATTTGCATGCAATTACACAAAATTGTGTTTTTTACAATACACAAGAACAAGCATATAACAATGATTTCTTTTCTCAAAAAATGAAGTTTTATGAGAAAGAATAAATTGGTGAATTGGAATTACCCTTAAAGAAGAAAATGAAAAAAAAGCTAAGTAAGTTTTCTAAGGAAGAATGAATCAATGTCATTATTATTACCCTTTAAGGAGAAATAAAATTAAACAAATAATACAAGTAATGAAAAAAATTGCACACACTTTATACAGAAATTGCTTTTTCTATAATATGCAAAAGTTAGCATGCTATCTGGATTTTCCGTAAAAAAGGTTTTCTAAGAAGGAATGAATTAATGGTATTCGCATTATGCCCTTAAAGAAAAATAAAATAGAAAATCAAAAACATTTTTTCTAAGAATGAATGAATTAGTGGCATTTTAATACCCTTCGAGAAGAAAGAAAATGAAAATAATTAAAATAAAATTAGAACAAAGTAAATTAGTGGAGCTAAGCTGTTTCCTAAGAAAGAACACATTAATGGAATTGATATTACCCTTAATGAAGAAAGAAAATGAAATAAAACTAGAAAAAATAGTTTTTTCTAAGGAAAATGAATTAGTGGCACTGGGATTACTCATTAAGAAAAAAAGGAAAAGAAATAAAAACTAAAACAAAATCAAAACAATGATTTTTTCTAAAATACAATGAAATAGTGGCGTTGGTATTACCCTTTAAGAAGAAAGGAAACGAAATAAAAATACTTGCACTCAACTTGACATTGAAATTGCACTTTTAAATATGAAAAGAATAAATGTACAATAGTGCACTTTCCACACTCTAGTGTAATTAACACACATATTGTACAATAATTGCGTGCATACATTTTCACTCATCCAAATGCAAAAAAAATTACCCATATGGAAATAAACGATATAAAAAATAAGAGCAAAAGCAAAAAGCATAGAAAAACAAACAAACAACGTATAACCGGCTTCAAGCCCAATCGAAAAATTGACTTACCCACATAGGGGCAAGTCAAAAATTCAACCTAAAAGCATCTCCAACAGGTGCGCTTCGCCTCGGCGCGGTATAATTCTTTTACGACGTCAAAATAGTCTTTTTGCGCGCAGGAGCGACGAAGAGGTTTTCCAAATGCATAAAAACCCAGCGCCCAATCCGGCGGCCCCACCTGCAGCAGCCGCGCCCACAATCCGGCGGCCCAAATCTGCAGTCCAGCAGGCCGCGCGCACACCCGTGCGCTAAAGATTTTTGTGCATGCTCTATTTTACACCGTCTGCCGGAGCGCTGTTTTTTGTCTCCGGTGCATGAAAACAATGATTTTTAGCGCGTGTGGTTTTTTTTGGGCGTCTGTTAGAGATGCTCTAAAAAAAATTGACTTACCCCAAACAGGGGCAAATAAAAAATGCAGCCTAAGAAAAAATTGACTTACCCCAAATAGGGACAAGTCAAAAATCAACCTAAGAAACACAAGTAAGAAAACAACACAAATCTTGACAAAAGAACCAACGGTTAGAAAATTGACTTATTCAAATTTAAAATTTAGACGACTTACCCGTAGCTAAAGTGGATAGTTTTTTAATTGTTGATTCTGTATGTGTGCACTAGTACCAGATACGATTGTATACTGTCATAGTTTTAGATGTGTTTTTCTTTAAACATAGGGGTTTCCTCCGCCCCAACTTTATTAAGCCAAGGCAGAAACCAACATAGTTTTAGAGGTGTTTCTAGGATTATAGACATTATTGGGTTTGGCACAAGATAAGTCACCATACATCTGTCATGAGGTGATCAATATAGAGAGAACGGACACAAGATTTATGTCATTCTTTTTATATAATGGAATTTGTACATACATGTCGCAGAACTTTATTCGTGTCATATTTTTCTAGGACATAGCCATATGCCTTGATGTATGTATGTATGTATGTATGGTGCTCAGGATTCATCAGGTCGTAGCAGACTTGAGCACGTCGTACACCGGCGCCCAGCCCGAGCGCCACTCGTAGATCCGGAGGTGGCCGTCGTGCTCCAGCCGCATGTACTGCACCGTGCCGGCGCCCACGGTGGGCAGCTGGATGGCGGCCAGCGGCGGCGCACCGGGCCGGGCGGACACCGTGAGGCTGCCGTTGGTGTACGTCGCGTAGGCGCCGGATGCGGTCTCGCTGAGGCTGAGGTGGTAGTAGCGCTGCGGCGGCGTGGCGTTGACGTAGGCGTTCAGTCCATCGTCGTCCACGGCGAGGTAGAGCCTGCCGTCGCGCCAGTCCGCCGTCGACGCGTTGGCGGTGAGCCGCGCGCCGTGCTTCAGAGACTGCCCGACGAGGAGCGCGTTCGTGGGGTGGTCGAACGACTGCCACACCGTGGCGTTGCGCCCGTCGAACAGCACCAGGTTGCCGTCGCTGCCGATGCGCGCCCCGGCGACGGACCGGCCCTTGGTGCCGGTGGACCACAAGACCGCTCCGCCGGGGCCCGACCTGAGAACCAGGTCGCCCTCCGGCGTGAGCTCCGTGGTGGCGCCCTCACTGACGGGGCTGCCGCGGTTGGCCGACCAGACGACCTGCGGGACGCCGGCCGTGACGAACGTCATGCCCGCGCCGCTGTTGCAGTAGACGACGGCGACGCCGAGCAGGAACTCCGTGCACGGGGCCGCGGGGCCGTTGCCGCGCGGTTGACTGGCGGTGCAGAAGAAGCCGAAGGCGTAGGAGGGGCCGAGGCCCGCCGGGTTGAGCCGCAGCAGGGCGGCCCGCGCCACGGAGCCGTCGGTGTAGACGACGTGGTGCGGCAGGGCGGCGTCCGTGTTGGCCCAGGTCGTGGAGAGCCTCGCCGCCGGGTAGTCGAACGGCTGTGCGCGCGCCCTGCCGCCGGCCACGAGGCAGCAGATCAGCGCGATGATCGTAGCACGGTGCATCATGGGTTGTGACTTGATCGACTGTGAATGTCGTGATGGGGTATGAGAGCGGAGCGCTGTGTGGATGCAACAACGATCGACGGAGGGTGCTTTTATGCATAGCGATTGGTGTGTGGTGCGGAATTGGCACGCACATTGGATGGGAACGACCGGCGGCGCGGTGGTATCCAGCCCGGCGTGGAAGTCTTCGAGGGATGGCGCCGCCGCCGCCGTCGGTTCACGACTCGTCTGCGCGTTAACGCGTTGCCGGTGGCCAGCTCCGTGCCCGCCGTACGTGGTCTGGTTCCTACTATGTACTGTACAAATTTAAAATTTTCGAGCTCGTTTCCTTGCCGGCATATATTCTTCTATGCAAGCACGGAGCACCAAAAATGCTAGACCTACATAAGTACCGTAAAGTTACGTTCTGACCTGCCTCAACCAATCATCGCTCCCCCCTGATTTTCACGGGGTGGGCCTGGGCCTTCTTAACTTCCAACCAAAACAGGCCAGGTCATCCTCTTCGTAAGTTATGTAATAATGTGTACGTAGGTGTAGCAAAGCTCAGTGCATGCGTCCAGCCTCTCGCGTGCTCGTAAGAATGCGCTCCATACGAGCAGCCGAAATTTTATTTCAGAGATTAAAAAATTGTTACGTCCAATTTAGAGAAAAAAACATGGGAAAAAAATACAGAGAATAGGAAACTGTTCACGTTCATGTGTATGAAAAACATGCATCACCAATTTGGAAAAATGATCGCTACGTATTTGGAAAAAATATTTATCTCATATTTAGAAATACTTTTCATGTATTTGAAACATATTGGTTATTTATTTTAAAATGTTAGTTACTGTTTTAAGCTGGCACCCCTTTCCATTAATATGCTCAACAAGAGTCAAGAATACACCGGTTTCCAGTTTACAACTAACATGAACCAGAAGTAGGGAGAAAATGAGAAAAAAAGAAGCAAGTTGGAGCATTATCAAAAAGCTGATAACATTGAAACATGATCACCAACCTAGAAACTACTAGTAAGTATTACATACAAAAGGCCCAACGAGACACCACACACTGTGCAAACCGCAACAACCAACAATAGAACCTTGTCGTCCATGTGTTGTCATGAGATGATTGGTGCGGATATGGTTATTGTCGTAGTTTGCTGATCGCAGATCTAATTGCTGCTTTTTTCCTCGCCTACGCATATATTTGGTCTTATATGAATTTGCCATATGCAGGCGTCTTTTTATGTGTGTTTCCTATTGGCTGTGTGCATCTTGACTATGTAGAGACCGGACGCTCATTGTGTTTATATCTTGTTGATGCTCCATCTTGAATCAATCAAATTCATCCTTTGTTTTTTTTATTGCGAAAAAATTCACCCTTTGTTGAAAACAAAAAAACTTATAGGTAATACACCCATCATTTGGCAAGCTCATGAATCAACAACACCAGGATCAGCACCCATAGGTGACGTATGGCATGCCAACATGGTCGCTTCCTACATGATCGCGTGAACTCCCTCCTGGAACACTGCATTGTTCTCCTCCTTCAACAAACCCGTCCAATATAACGAAAACAAGCAAATTGTAAGGATAACCACAACTGGCGTTCACATCACATGCCCCTCAAAAGTGATTTGGTTTCGAGTACATATCCCCAAACATGCTGGAAAGCAAACAACCATGAAATACTTTGACAAGTTTGTAGGACAACAACTAGCCCTAGTAACTTTTTCTATAATGCACCAAGCAGCTCTAGCCACCCACACTAAAAGGATGAGTGTCTAACTGTTTCACATTCATTGCAACAAGAGCATAAAGGACTGGCATACAAGTTTTTTTCATACTATCCCTAGTGTCACATCAAGATTTTAATTTTTGAAGGAATAACAACTTTCCTCGATTAACTTATTATTTGCCCCAATGTTAATTAGTATTAAAAATTTCTATAAGTATTTAAAACTTTAGTTGCATATTAAAAAAATCAGTAATCACAAATTAAAATAATTTTCGTTGCACTTGTACAAAATGTTGATCACACATTGGAAAAATTATTTATCGGCTAGTGTGAAAATATTCATCCTGGATTATTAAAAATGTTTGTGTATACAAAACACATCGAAAGCAAAAAAAAACTCGTTAGTAAATATATAAATATAAAACAAAAATGAAATTAAAAGAAATGAAAAATGCACAAACAAGAACAAAAGAACGGGGAAATATCTGAAAGGAGAAAATAAAAAATGGTATAAAAAAGAAATTGGACATCTACCCCACCAGGCCTGGCTTGATAATGTTGCCCGCTTGCTCTCTTCCACGCCTAGGACACTGGAATATGCAGTCCCTATTTGTTGAGACAAAATGTCACCATTTTCACTAGGGCTATGTATCGCTCATATAAATATTTCATATGTCTCGCCAGAAGGATTTTTGATGAGTCGTTACCTGGCCAGCCTGTTTCTTCTCTTCATGGCAAGGAAACCGGAAGGCGCTACCCCGATCGATCGCTGTTGTTCGTCTATTTTCTTCTTCTTCTTCTTTGTTGTGTACTTGTTGGATTGGTGTGGTATTCACCTTTTTACTGTCTTTTTTTTATTTTCTTTGGGGCTTTTTTGGGTTTTGCTAATTTAATCTATGGGGGTTTATTGGGGGTTTCACTGTTTCGCATGGTTTCTTCAGTTTTTTTTGTTTTTGCTCTTTTATCTTATTTATTTTATTTGGTTTCTTTTTTAATTTTTCTTGGTTTTCATCTTCTTTTCTCCTTATGTTTCCTTTTTTTCTTAGCACATGTCCACATTTTTCTTAGGCACTGTGCATTGTTCATATACATCAAGAACATTTTTTACACGTGTAAATTATTTAAATATATGTTCAAAATTGTTTTCCAAACGTATATGTTGTTGTCTATTATTTTCATATACATTTTACATTTTTAGTATACATCCAAAACATTTTTTATAAACTTTTAATATTTTTAAATACATGATGGATATTTTTTCAAAAAGCTTTTGATTATTTTTTATATATGTTAAAAGTCTTAGGAATCCATGTCGAAACATTTCCTGAATGGTACGAAACAATTACAGTGTGGAAACACTTTTTAGTGAAATATCACAAATATATTTTGAACTTGTAACAATTTTCTGTATCTTATTTATTGAGTTACACGATTTGTTTTCATTGTATAAACTCTTTTCTTAAATTTCATGTACATGTTTTACGAAATGCGCAAATATTTTGTAAATGTCACACATTGTTTTGAATGCTATAAACATATTGCGGAAATCACACTACAATTTTTTTCCAGTGTGTTAATCTTTTTAAATTCCAAGATTTTTTTGGAAGTAGTTCTCAGTTCTGGGAAGTGGGTATTTCAAATGTTTTAAACTTTACTAACAAATTTAAAAAATCAAACGAACCAAAAAACTCGTATGTCTATGGCCAATGGTAGACACACGATCGGTACACATGTTTGTTTTTCCTGTGGATGCTTGGAACTAATTGGACCAGGTTCCTTTAGCTAGTGCTGCAGGTGATGCTCCTGTATGTGTCGCTACGAGTGGTACCTAGTCGCTCTCCGCCTTTCACACAGGGAGAGCAACTAATCAAGTAGTACTCCTCCGAGAGCCCCCCGCAAGGTTCACTTGGGGTTTGCTAGGATCACGCCACTTGGCGCACTCTCAGCCGCCGCCACGTGTCGCGCTATGGGCGCTGCTTCCGAATTTTGTTTTAATTTTTATCTTTCTATATGCGTTCTTGGCTTTTAAATACAATTTTTTTTGTTTTTTTCGGCTTTTTGTAAATCTTACTGTTTTTCTTAGGTTTTGGACCAAAAATCTTTTTCCAATTTTTTTTGACGTGTGTTCTTTTTCCCCTTTCGTGAGAGGTACAAATTTACTTTTCGTGGAGGCACGTACAAAATTGCCTATGCGAGAGGCACGGTCGTGCCCCTCGCAAAAGAAAAAATAGGCACTTTTTTCCTTCACAAGAGACACACATTTACTTTTCATGGAGGCACGGAATCGCTTCCGCTAAAGCCATGGTCGTGCCTCTCAGAAATGAAAGAAGTACATTTCTTTCTTGCCGCGAGAGGCATGAATTTCTCGTGAAGGCATGGATTTGCTTATGCGATATACACAACCATGCCACTCGCAGAAGGAAAAAACTCGTTTTTCTTTCGACTACGAGAGGTACGATTTGCTTCCCTCGAGAGACACCGTCGTGCCTCTCGGAGAACGAAAAAAACACGCGAGAGGCACCGATTTACTTCTTGTAGAGGCATGGATTTAATTCTGCGAGAGGCGCGGTCGGCGAGATGCGGCTGCCAAACGTGGGCATCTTGACGCAAAATGCGATGTAAAGGACCGCAATTGCTATTCGACCCTCGTAGCAGGAAATTGTGGAAGCTTCACAAGATGGGCAATAATATTGATATATTAGACAGTCCAAGTCATCCAGTTTTGGGAACGGTTCTGAATCTGTTTTTTTTCTTCTTAATTTTTTGTTTTCAAGTTTTCATTTTTCGCTTGTGTTTTTACTTTAAATGTTTCTAGTTATAATTTTCTATTATTCGTATGGAATTTAAATTATTTTTGAAATTTAAAAATGTTGACTTTTCCAAATAAATGTTAAAAAATTTCAAAAAATGTTTGCATTTGTCAGAATTTTATATAAATTCAAAATTTTCAATTTTTTAGA